TACAACACATATATATGTGTTGTATATATCTATGCTTATACCATGCGAATTTCGCATGGTGTGTCCCCCGCTTAATGCAAAAATTGTGAACTGAACTGACTATTTGAAAATTAACTAAAAAAACATTTTTATTTTGTGTTTGCTGACGTAACAGCCTAGGCCTAATCCTAAAATCCTTTGTTTCGTGTACTGGAAAACATAGGTACTGGGACACATAGGTACCGGGACACATAGGTACCGGGACACATAGGTACCTGGGTACTGGGACACATAGGTACCGGGACACATAGGTACCGGGACACATAGGTACCGGGACACATAGGTACCTGGGTACTGGGACACATAGGTATGACCCCGGTTTTATTGGGACCCATGTTCTCTATCCTTGGGCCCGTATACGCTAACCGGTCGTAGGTTCCGAGTCGTGTATTAGACGACTGACAGAGTAAAATCTTGCAACTACTAAACAAGTACGAGTGAGTACACCTACCATTCCTATCGGAGTATTGGCAAGAAATCCTATACACGCATTATATAAAAAATTAAAACACATTTTATGCGTTTCTACATTCTCACAGTCGACTTATTCGCCATGTTTGTCGCGTCCTATCGTCAGCGTCGCCGGTACTGTTCAGCTGTTTGTTTTTCAAATTATTTCACCCACGATACAAAGTTAAGCTTTGTTTGTTTTGAGATAAGAAGTAATAAAGTAAAATTATATAAACGATTTTACAATAATTAACAAAATTGAAATGCTATTGCGTTTTTTTTAGTTACGAGGATCTCATAATGCATACCTTGACCTATACCAGGGCGCGATGTACGCCACGATTGGTACTGTTGGCACTGCATCTCGAAATTTTAAGGACTTCATGTAGTATACGTGTGGATAGTTTCACTATTCTACCCAATAGTGCACAATGTGTCAATGTGACCATGTAGTGTCCAATGTGTCCATTGTTCTGTGCTTATTCGCTGCACTATGAGAGACAGCCCAACGACACAGTGTGTTGTCAAAGTGTGTTGTAAAGCACAATAAATCATGGCCTCTTGGTATGAAAATTAAAAAATTACACTTGTTGGCACTTTTTATTGCATTGACGGTTGAGTGAGGAAATCGCGTCTTTTGTTCCTCATAACAAAAAATTGTTAATGTAGCACAGTCTGAAATCTGGGTTCGGGCATGCACATAATCTGGTGAAGAAATAACTGTATCATTAAAATAATATATGTCTAAAGGAAGTAACGTAGCGAGACTGCAGACATGCCGAAGAAGGTATATGCCAGGAGCACTCTACATTCTAGGGCGTCTTCGTGTTGATAAAGAGAGGCGCTGTGATGGACACGTGTCATATAAATCTACTCTCGCATATGTTCTCTCCATTTTCAATGATAACTTTGACGAAATAGGTTTTTTTCTCGGCAGATATTGCGCGCGCGCCAACACATATGATTGCTAGTAAAGGGCATTCGAAAGTTGAAAAAAAAATTGTCAATGTATATACGAACGAACGCTATTGACGAAGGCTGATTGCTTTTGGTTTTGTTATTTTATTTGTGCTCAATATAATATTTTGTGCTGAATATAATTTTATTTAACCTTATTTTTTGACATTTCAACGTGACATTTCAACATGACATTTCAACATATGTGGTGTTTGAGTCCACACTGCACGCCTGGAATGAAATAAACATGTAGTAAACATGAAGTAAACGATGAAATCTACATGTAGGTCTACATCCTACATAGATCTAGTATAGTAGTATGATAATTTTTTATGTAATTCTATGCATGCCATAAAGTGATTAAATAATATGGATCTTTTCTTGTATTTGTATGTAGTATACTAGTAGTGTATGCACTACACGCGTTAGCTATAAGCGCATATACGCTCTCCTATGACACTATTTTTCATAGAAAGATTCTTCATGTTTCCTATGACAAATATTGGCGAGTCAACTTCGTTCCGCTTTACAGCTGAAATTCACTGCTTGCGTTCATAATAGCGCTCCTAAACTCCTATGGTGCGCACAACACATACAACAATATTTGTCATAGGAAGAATCTTCTTATGACAAATAGTGTCATAGAAGAGCGTATATGCGTATGTCGTATTTATCACAGATGCTAGCAGAACAGGCTGGTACTTCGATGTACTTCGATGTGCTTCGATGTATGCCGGCCACTTCAGATGTAATATCTACGCAGCTAACATTTCTCACCGTTAATTTCAAGAGAACGAATGCTGCGCGAGAGAATGATGTTTATTAACGCAATCTGTGATATTGCACGTCTATACAAGTTATATTAAGTAGGTAGGTCTT